GGTGGGTTCATCAAAGTCAGGGTAAATACGGAGCAACGGCTCAGCAACTCAGCGTGAAACAACAGCTACAAACCCTGAAAAAATACAGAGTAATTAAAATGTGCATTGTGCAGCCCTTCTTCTCAGTGGGTACCTTTCCAAGGAAAGCAGTAACTTTATTGTGAAAAATATAAACACGAATTTGGAGACATAAATTACATGCATATTTTAATCTTGTTTATAAACATGGAAAGTTTTCAAAATGTAAATATAATCACAGTTAGCACACAACTGCAGCTGAAACCAGGTTTGAGAAAGACCTCAAGAAGGTAAAAGGTCCCCCAGATCCCCCAACCCCAACCCTATCGATCTACCTACCCTTTCTGTATATTTGGAGAAGATGAGGTGGAATTCTATCCTCCTCATTCTAAGGACACAAACCCTTATCCCTTATTTTTTAATGTCACAAATGGGTAGTAGATTTGACTTTTTTTCTCTACTTCCCCTCTCCTCTCTTCCCCCTTTGGTCTACATGTGTGGTGTTGGAGATTAGCTAGTGAGAGGCAATGGTCAAGCATTGAGTAATCTGCCACGTGGAAAGGAGGAGGAAATTTACCCCAATAGTATCTGCATTCTTTGATTTTCATGCTGTGATCATGCAAGTTACCACAAAATGAGCCAGCTCTAGGGATTAAGCTGAGGGAGACAGCATGAGATAAGTAGAGAACTCAGCGAGCTGGTGTTGAAATGTGAGTGGATTCTGCCTCAACTGTGCCTTGCTGCCGCAGTGATTTTTGGACAGAGCCCTTCACTTTTCTGAGCCACCGTGTCTCCATCTGTTAAAGTCATTGACTTGGCCTGAAAGGAGCTCCAAGGTTCTTTCCCATTCAGATTTTCTACGATACTGTAGCCCATGGATTCGCTGCAATCTAAGTGGGGTCCTGGAGATTCAAACCAATGTGGTACTCTTCTTGAGTCCCCAGAACATTTCTCAGGGTTCTGAAAAGACTCAAGAGGCTCCTCTGCCAAAGACTGTCCATGCTGTAATTTAAGGCCAGGACTTCCTGAGACTGTCGTTAGAAGTCCCTGATCCTGGCCTCATTTCTGCTGCCTCCTTAGCTTTACAAAGGGCCTTCCTAGTAGGGAATGATGTCTGTCCAGACCATCAAGGCTTGTGGTTGGAGCTACCGTAGAGATGACTTAGTGTAAAGAGCCTACATCTGTGTCTCCAGTGATGACAGAAGTGTCTAATAGGGCATCTATCCTGCATTTCTCTCTCAGTGCATTTCCTTATTAGAGTAGAATAGTTGAAATTTATAGGATTGTAAGAGAGATAGTTATAAAAGCAACCTGTCATTTATATACACTACATCAAAATAAATTAACGTGTGGTATTCAGGGAAGCTTAGCTTTAAGGATTCAAACCCAAAGTTTAATCTGAAGAGTGTTTTTAGTATGCTGTTATATCTGGGTGATTCCACCAGGAGGACCTGAGGTCAAGTATTTTTTTGATTAATTGTTTTAGGGTAGAAAACAGAAAGCACATTGAAAATTCAGCATTTGCCCTGCCAGCATGTGACACAGTAGGAAATGGTTGGGACTTAGAAGTAGGATAAGAGACGTGATTAATGATTCTGTAGGTTTGACAGTAGATTTTCTAATTCAGACCACTCATTCCCACCGTGAACGCCAAAGGAAATCTTTCTTCCAATGACCATCAAGCCCTGGTCTGACTGAGACTTTCCTATATAACCTTTGTGATGGTCACCTCAGGCTTCCCTGGAAGAGGATCAGGTTCCAAAAGAGCTCTCTGATCTAGTTTTATCAGAGTGTCGGAATGGTGACGTTTCCAGAGCAGTCCCGGGGTAAGGAATTGGGAATGGGAGTGAAAGCTTGTAGTAAGTGTGTGGCCAGCTGAAGCTTTTGGGAACACAGAAGGAAGGATGAGTATAGGAAAGGGTGTGAAGTGTTAGTAAAAGCACTGGTGTCATGACATTGAACACTCTTTTTCTTGGCTCATAAGGATAGATACGCGTGTTATCTTCATGCACTACTCGTAACGGTGGCTGTGCCTTGCACTTTTTGTTGTTGGTCTTTTAATGATGAGACTAGAACGAAGCAAGAAGATAACATTCCTGTTTTAACGAAAATTCACCAAATAATCCACAAGAAAATAAACTTCACCTAAAAGTTCCCAGACGATTGTATCAAAGACCTATACGAAAGAGCTAAAACTGTCTGTAAAACTCTTGAAAGAAAATAAACATACAGGGAAATTTTCATGGCTTGAATTTAGCAGTGTTTTCTTAGATATGATACTCAAAAGCTCGAACAGCAGAAGAAAAAGCAGATAAATTAGACTTCATCAAAATTAAAGTTTTGTGCATCCATGAACACTGCCAAGAGCGTGAAAAATAACCCATACAACGGAAGAACATATTTGTAAATCATATACCTGCTAAGGGTCTGGTATCCAGAATATACAAAGAACTCCTATAACAAAACAATGAAAAGACAACCCGATTACAACATGGTTAAAGTACTTGAATAAACATTTCTCCAAAGAAGATAAACAAATGATCAGTAAACACAAGATGCTCAGCATCATTAGTCATTAAGACAATGCAGATCCGGTGGCTCATGCCTGTCATCCCAGCACTTTGGGAGGCCAAGGCGGGCAGATCACGAGGTCAGGAGTTCAAGGCCAGCCTGGCTAACGTGGTGAAACCCCATCTCTACTAAAAATACAAAAATTAGCCTGGCATCGTGGCATATGCCTGTAGTTCCAGCTACTCGGGAGGCTGAGGCCAGAGAATCACTTGAACCTGGGAGGCAGGGGTTGCTGGGAGGCGAGATCATGCCACTGCACTCTAGCCTGGGTGACAGAGCGAGACTCCATCTCAAAAGAAAAAAAAGAAAATGCAGATCAAAGCCACAATGAGATACCATTTTTTATCTACTAGGATAGCTATTATAAAGTAGAATACAATAGCAAGTATTGGTGAGAAGGTGGAGAAATTAGAACCCTCATACATTGATGGTGGGAATGTAAAATGCTGCAGCCACTGTGGAAAACAATTTGACAGTTCCTCAAAAAGTTAAAACAGGCCAGGCACGGTGGCTCATGCCTGTAATCCCAACACTTTGGGAGGCCGAGGCGAGTGGATCACCTGAAGTCAGGAGTTTGAGACCAGCCTGGCCAAGATGGTGAAACCCCATCTCTACTAAAAATACAAAAATTAGCTGGGCATGGTGGTGGGAGCCTGTAATCCCAGCTACTTGGGAGGCTGAGACAGAAGAATTGCTTGAACCCAGGAGGCTGAGGTTGCAATGAGGTTGCAATGAGTTAAGATTGTGCCATTGCACTCCAGCCTGGGCAACAAGAGAGAAACTCGGTCTCAAAAAAAAAGTTAAGACAGAGATTACCATGTGGTAACTCTGTGTGGCCTTGGGCAAGTCATGTAAACTTTCTGGGCCTAGGTGAAAGACTTAGATAAATCCCTTAATTCTGGGTAGGAGAAGGTCTCGATCACGTGTGGGGCCTTTTCAAGCCTCATGGATCTTCCTTCACCCTGGCGCCTTACTCGAGTGAAGGGGAGAGTATTTCAAAGGAAATGTTCTTCCCCAGGACAAGGAATGAGCTGGCAGACACAGGGCACGGAGAGTGTGATGGCACGGTCCCTGGTAGAGCCTTTGTAATATTGTTTAAAGTCCTAGTGCTGATTCTGATGAGCCTCATGCCCCTCAGAACTGCAGGCAGTAAACTCATTCATTTCTTCATACACCTACCACCAGCCAATAGTTATGGGGTGTGCCCCATGCTGTGTGAAGCATGGTGCTGGAAGACAGGGAGCCCCAGAATCCAGGGAGCTGATGTTTCAGAGGGAGGAGATATTACTGGAGACTTCATTATTGAGTTGCAGTCGTGGCGAGGACTCTGAAGAAGTGGAGGCTGCTGTGGGCAAGCACTCCAGGGTCAGGGCGGCTGCTCTGAGGAAGCTGTGGATCAGCTGCTGTCTGAAGGATGACTTAACTAGGAACTAACTAGGAATGAATTCAGGAAATTAACTAGGAAAACCAGGAAGGGTGCAGATAGCATTCCTGGTAGAGAGGGAACAGTGAGGAGGAAGGGAGAGTGGGCTTGGAGAAGAGGCTGCGGAGAAGAGCCTCATTCCAGGATGTCACAGTGACATCTCCTCTCAGGTTGACATCCTTGAATTGTAGGACCAAGAGAAGTGATCTCCCTGAGACCACAGGTAGGCACTTTCACCAGCATCCACTGCATCTGTGTCCCCACCAACCAACATCCTACGCTCTTGGCTGTGTAGCCAGCAGGAAACATGTAGTATCTCTGGAACTTAAAATGCTCCCCCGAGTCGGCTGTGACCTGAAGCCACTGCACCTCGGAACTTCTTTAATCTGCACAGCACAGGGCAGCGTGAGTGACAGAAAGAGTGACTCGAACGTGACGCCCCACATGCCAGGCCAACATCCAGAGGATGTTTCTCTTTTTGGTCTTTCAGTTTTCTGCCCATCAAACCGGTAAACCAAGGCTCTGAGGACGGTGGAACTACCAGACTTTTACTTAAGCAGCAGCACCCATTGTGGTACTTGGTAGGCCTACCGCGTGTATTTGGTGGATAAATTGGATCCACTGTTGTAGCGGAGGCCACAGTTTCCGCACGTTAGTGGCGCCCAAGGTGGATGGAGCTCATACCTGCAGGTCATGTTCAGTGCCCCTAGGAGCCCATCCCGGGTAAGGGGTGTGGTTTCAGGGGCCACAGTTGAGCCTCTCGGGTGTGTGCGTGGTGCTCCAGCAGGAGATGGGGGAGCAGCAGCCACAATGGGAGCTGGCTGTTAGGGAAAGAGCCTGTCTGCCAGTCCCGGCTCAGGCATCCCCTCAACCTGTAACTCGATGAATTTTTTTTGGCGCGGGGGCCACTCATTTGGAATCTTGCATGTCTTCTGTGTGGTCATCGATCTATTCCATCAGGCTTAATTTTTTTTTTCTTTGCTTTCAGGAGAGTAGATCTGGAGAAACCAACAGCTGTGTTGAAGAAATAATCCGGGTAAGATAATTCTTTAAACAGTCTTACCAGTCTGTGGGACATAGACTCTAAATGGGAAGGAAACCTGCGGCTCCATGAGATAAAGGAGCCCATAGTTTGTTGTTTGATGTGTACGTTTTCTGAGAGTGGTCATATAAGTTTTTGAAACAACACTTCTGTTAGCAATCTAGCAGCTGTACCCCCTCTGGGCACCTCTGCACAGGCTGAGGTGACACCCTATTAAAGTGATCAGCTGGAAGACAGAAGGAGAGAATGTAGATGAAAAATATGCTGGTGCTCACATTTGGATGCCCCATTTATCACCCTGCTGTTTAAAAGCATCCTTTAATAGTCTGTACTTTTTTTGAGTCAGGCAGGGGTTGCCTGGTTATTTTTCCTGTAAACTTAATTGGAATCAGAAGCACTTGACAAAGAGGTAATGTTGAGGATCTGGAGCTCTTATTTCTCTGTTGTTCCACATGTTATTCGCCCTGTCACCCTCTGCGAGCCTGTGCTTTTCATCACCGTTGTGGCTAGTGCGGGTTCCCTCCCTGAACCAGTTTCGTGCCCAGCTTGACTTAGGTTGAGCTATTCTGCCACATCAGTGTTTTCCCAAATATTCAGACACATAATCAGGATGTTGTCATCAACCCGTGTTTTCCTTCACTCATATTTTTTCAGGGGAGTTACCTAATAATTTATAGTTCTCAAAAAGCTGATACTACACTGGGCAAAACACCAAGACAAATTAGGCCAGATGGTATGGAATTTCACTGTTAAAAGAAAAAACTTTATTTTCATTTAATACGGTCCTTTCTTTTGGACATCCTACACACTTTTTTTTTTTAATGCTGGTGAATTACAGTAATATAATTACTTGGGTTAAAATTTTACATTCACAACGATTTTAAAAAGCAGAATGTTTTTCTTTCTGGAAAGCAGTATTTCATAAATAAGTCGCACGTTGACCAGAATAACTAATTGAAGTGTGATTTGTTGAATTCATAATGATTTTTTTTTTCTGGCAGAGATTTATAGAGAAAGCAATTGTCAAAACAGGCAGCTTCATTTCTGGTATTTAAGTATATGTTAAATAAAATACATAGTCTATTTTATATCTATATTGTCTCTATTCTGGGACTTTGTTTACTTTGTTTCCAGTTAAAGAACAATCAACATAAGATGCTGATATAACTTTTCCTGTTTTTCTCTTTCAACATACTTTCATGTTTGCAGTTCACATATTCCATTTTTAAGCCATTTTCCTTTGATTGGTTATGGTGTTTATGTCCGCAAAAAGGTAATACCAGAACACACCAATCCCCTCTTTGGTTTCCCTAAGTAGAAAAATTCTACCTTCTTATTCTGTCTTGGCCCTTCTGAGGATATGGAAGAAATCCATCCTTTGATGTTCCTATTCTGTTTTCCATACAAGGCTTGAAGTTTGAATAAAGACTTGAGTAATTTACACACCAAAAGAATAGAGTTTAGGTAAAGCAAAATTCAATTTGAATAAAACTGAGTGTCACAATCAATAGCTCATTCAGCTTTACACTTACTGTTTTCTAAAGAGAGCTGATGAGAGCCTCATGTCCCCTCACCCCAGTCCTCCCCTCCCCGCCCGCCCACCGCCAGTGCTGCACCTGTGCCACACCCTCTTCAGATGAGCCCTGAAACAAAGGGAGAACATGGACCCACCGGATCACTGATTTGTGTCCATATGCAAGGCTGAAGTGTGCATGTGTGTGCAAGAGGGCAGTGGAGATGGTGGCTGGATCAGGAGGCAGCTGAGCTCCAAATTCCACTCTTCCTAGCCCATGAGCAGCAGTCAGGAGGGGAAGTGGGATGGACGAGGAGGAAAGAGAGACGATGGTGGCACTAGTTGAGCCTGGAGCTTTTTACTCTCTCTCCCTACTTGTCAGCCTAAGGTGTCAGTAGTAGTAGTTGGTATCTGGGGAGCTCCTAGGGGATCGGGTTAGTGTTCCCAGTGTTTCCTGGAATGGCTTTCTGTCTATGCCTGCATCACTGACATTAGTCATTCTACAAGATCATCTACCCCTCTTAACCTCCAAACACAAGCATAGGACTCCTTCTTGATTACCACCCATGGTATTTGTTGTGTATCTGTCACACACCAGCCTTCCTCCAAGATTGTGGCCCCAAGGAGAGGGAAAGCCAGAGTGGTTGGTGAGTAGGTAGATAAAGCTAAGCGGGAGAGGCATAAGGAGCTAGGTCGTAGATCCTGTAAGATGGGGATCAGCTGAGCATGTGAGCAGAGTGATGTGATCACATTAGCAGTTTAAATGCACCACTCTGGCTGCTATGGAGAGAGGATCCACGGGGAAAAGGAGAAGCAAGAAGGAGTGGGAGGCTATTGCAGGAGTCCAGACCAGAGATGCTTGGTGGTGCGCTCACGGCCATGGGAAACATTAGGGGAGATCCTGGCTTGTGGGAAGGGTGGAAATCATAAATTCATTTTTAGACATAGTGAGTTCGACGTGCCTTTGGGACATTCGAGTAAACCACGGAGAACATAGAACAACCTGTTGGAGGTCAGGAGGTCAGAGCAGAGGTCTGAGCTGTTAGACCAACGTTTTGGATTAATTAGCATGCCATTGGTAATAACACCGTAGAAATAGGTAAATTTTTCTGGAAAGAGACTAGAGACCCAGAAACAGTGAGAATCTAAATTCTGACTTTTAGAGACCCAAGGGAAGGAATAGCGGCTGGCAAGTGGAAGTGAGAGAGAGTGACGAGAAACGTGGAGGGAAAATTATGACGGTGAAAAGTCGTGGAATCCAAGGAATGAGATTCAAGCTCAGTGGTGTTCAGAGTTTCTGCGGACGAGAAAGATGAGGATCTAAAACCACGCAATGGATGAGAGCCCAGAAACGTTGCTGGTGACCTTTGCGAGTGCCCTTTTTGTGGAGTAGAGGGGGCAGAAGCCACACTAGAGAAAAGAGAAAATGCAGGCAGTGAATTTAGAGACCTCTTGGGAGGAAAGGCTGTAGCTTCCCTTCAGCTCCCTTTCCAATTGCAGTGCGTCCCTCATACAGTAACCACCACCAGGCGATGAAGAGCTGATGTTGACTGAGCGTGCATTATGTGTGAGGCACAGTTCTAAGCTGTGATTTAACTCTCACAGCTGCCTCATGAGGTCAGCGTTGGTAACATTCCCATTTTACAGATGAGGAAACTGAAGTGAGGATGAGTTAGACACAACTTGCCCAAGGTCACACAGCTAGCAAGTGGCAGAGCTGGGATTCTAATGAGGACGCCTTGCACAGCAACCTCTCTTAACTATCGTGCTGACTTACTAGATGAAGACGTTCCCCTGGCTCTTTAACGAAACCACTCAGGCAATTCGTCGTGAACGGGAGGTTTCCCGTTTCTACCTGTTTATGATTCGAACGTGCCAGATTATGCATTTAGGCACTTAAATTCGGAGGTTTTATAGCCATGTTATCAACCTCATCTTTAACTTGTTCCTCTCTCCTCCTTATTTTTGCTGAGGTGACTGTTTTCAAGTCATTTGAATATTACATTGTGTTCTAACATATAATTATTTTTTATCCTTACTCAGAGAATTTTAATCCTGGGACCTAATAAATCTGTGTGTTATTGCAAATTTCTCTTAACTGAGGGAGAAATTAAAACAGAGTTCTGTGAAGATGGGCGATCAGGGCTAGAAGCCTTCATGGCTGACATATGTTTGTAACAAGCAGTTTTCTAAGTTACACTCTATTTCATCCTTAAAGGTTCCAGTGCTGTAATACTTAGGTGCTTTTCATAGCATTATCCATTAACGTAGAATGGCATTAACATTTGTTCAGCAAATAAAATTGGTTTACAACTTAATGGGTGGGGGTGCAGGGCTGGAATCTAGGATGTGCAGGTTTTATGCAAGGCAGCTCTACATGGCATTTGTTGAAGACACGCATAACATAGAGTGTCTTTGTAATAAGAGACCAGTGTTTGAGATTCTGGTTTGGAGTTAAGGAATGAATTTAGAGACAATTTCAGTGCAACATCTGAGCAGATTACTTTCTTGGCTGTCATCATCTTCGGCCACTAATTTAATTCCAGTGTGCTGCAAAATATTCTTAGAGAACATTTACATAGAGTTGCATTTCTGTTTATCTGAAGGGGGTAAGGGGTACTTGTTTAAATTTTGGAGACCTCAACCAGTTTCCTGACATTATAGTGGGACACACTTGAGGCAAATAAAGTGAACTCATTTTTTCCTTGGTTTTCCAGAAACTCAGGAGCATCCTGGGTGGGATGATTTCCAGTTGTGGTCCTGGGAGATGTGTGAGTTGAGGGCACTCACCTGGGAAATGCACATCATGATAGCCTCTTACATGTACAGACCCCCGGATGATGGGACAAGAGAAGCCTTGTGCTCACAAATATCAATCAAATGAAAACCTACTTGCCATTCTATGCCTACCGGAAGGTAGAGGACAAAGAGATAACTTGTTTTCAGTGACCTATTTGGGGCCTCGTATGTATGTGGGCCGTTGGACTACACATTGTCATCCATATAGTCCGTTCACATTTTTGTAACATCATTATAGTTTTTTCTTCTTTTTATCTGAGTGAGCATTTTCAAAAAATAAGTGCTTAAATGTGAATC